TACCCCTATACCTGCGCATAATGGATGCCAGGTTACTGCCGCAAAAGTTAGTGTTTTACTAATTTGTGTGGTCCAATGGGGATGCCCTAGGGATCTCTAGGGGATCACCTCTCAATTCAAAGTCATTTATCTTCCTGAGATGTCAGTGAAAACGCTGCAAAATTGTACTGAGGGTATAGAACGGCACTGCGAACGATAAGCATGTGACAGGAGGAATGGAATTTGAAAGTTGCGCATTTTTGATATTCCCTAACTTATGAGCAGTGGTTCATCGAAGATTTCGTATATTGATATTTCACTCATTTCTACTATCAGCATGTTCAATAGTGCCGTAGTATATTCACAGTACAATTTTGCAGCATTTTCCTTGACTTGTCAGGAAGATGAATGATTTCGAAAATGAGAGATGGACCTCTGGGGATTCTTAGGAGTCCCAGGGGATCACCTCTCATCTTAATCTCACACCAGCGTTTATGAGCATCTCTGGATCCAAAAACCTAAGTTTCAAAGTTACAGAAAACCTTTACTAATATGGTAGCAAATAAAGTATTACTTCTACAAAAAATGGGATAAGGAGAAAATTGTTTGAAGACACATTAGCAATATTGGTCCTGCAAGTGAATGGAAGTACCCCTCAAGAAGATTAGAACGTCGAATAATATACCAAAACATCCAAATGAAAACTTTCTTAAGCTGGTAGTTTGTGCATTAGCTTTTGCATTCTTGGTCAGTATTGAGCAACGTCGGTTGGCTCATCAACGAGGTATTGCTGATCAGTAATGAAGACTGCTCGCACACTTGGCAAAAGTTTGATCATTTTCGGTCATCTGTGCCTTGGAAAATTGATAACAATCAACTTCCAAAAGTCGCAGTAGTTTTCACTTCTGCACAGGGCCCGGCACGAGGTGGACAAATGACAGGCTGAAAGTCATTTTGAGTGGAAAAAGTAATGGGGTTGTCATTTTTGTGGGATGCGGGGCGAAACCCGGAAAAATTTTGGTTTATGCTCTACCGCTTATCTTAACATGTTAATACGTGTCTCAACAGGTGCGTAGTGGATGCGCGCGTCAAACCGCGCCGTCGCTTACCCGGTGGCTTTTGGAACACTATATAACTAGTTCTCAATGTATGCGTAATTATATGGCACCAAATTCCATAGGCGATCAAAGAGAGGCTAGTGAAAACAAAGTATGAAAAATTTTGAAACATTATGTGAATGGAAGGTCTACTGAGCAATCTCCTCAAAAATTTTCTAAAACTGGTGAATGAAGATGTGACTTCAAATGGCCCATTTGCAACGCACAAAATGACGACTTGGTGTGAAACTGAGAGATACATGATCACAGGCCTGTAGGGGTTAACTGGGAAGTTTCATTGATAAATTGCCTGATTGAAGAGTGTGGCAAGCTTTTCTCTAGATTTCCCGCTACCAAAAAGTAG